CTCTATAACAAACGCTATAATTCACAACGAACTTCTCACGTGCTCAACAATATTCTTACTCATTACCTTATTGCCATCACGTTGCTTCTTGGCCGGTCTTATATATATATACAAGACTACCCCAATCTAGTAGTCTCCCGACATTTCATGAAGGTTCGAAAAGGAAGTGGCGTGATACGAGCGTCACGTGACGTGCGTTGTCGTAACAATACTTATGCATAAAATGTTTGACTTTTTTTGTTACTACTATAGATTGGTGTTTAAGTTCCTTAAGAATTTTATGAGCTATTTGCCAGATAGTTTCTTGACCATTGTTCAATGATTGTCTGTCTGCGGACCTGAGGCTCAACGGTTCGCGTCCCGTTACCGCCAATAACAACAACAAATCTCACTCCACACTTTGACGCTGTGGTTTGCGTTATATTTATGAGTGGTGGTATAATGTCAGTATTTGGTCTGACAACAGTTAATGTTATTGAATAGCTGCCTGTCATTTAGTATATCTCTTGAATATGAGGGACGGCTAGCACAGATACTAGCACTCGTGTAGCTTTGGTGCGAAATTCAATGATAAATTATTATATGACGTAAGCCTCCCAGGTTCAAACAAGGACCTAAATCCCGATAAAGCAGAAACAAGTGTAACCAGTCATGTAAATACTTGATGTTAATGTTCAATCAAGTCATTACAGCTGTAACAAATTATTATTGTATAGTATTCATAAATTAATTCAAATTCTTAAATAATTTTTAGTTAGATTTCATTGAACTTTTTTCTAATCCTTTCGTCTCTAGTATTGGATAGGCCCGTGATTTGGTTTGTTTCAAATTTCGCGCAGAACGACAGGAGGTCTTATTTGCTGTCCCTAATTTAGCAGTTATAGAGTAGAGGGAAGGCAGCTAGTCAACACCACCAGCTTTTGAGCTACTCTTTTACCAACGAATAGTGGGATTGACCATAACATTATAACGCCCCCACGGCTTAAAGGGAAAGCATGTTCGGTGATGGGGATTCGAACCTGCGACCCTCAGGTTGCGAGTCGAACTCCTTAACCATCAGGCCCCGTAGTTGCACGCTCTTTGACAAAAACATTCCAAAATAATGCAAAACAAATAACGGGGAAATGATGCTGTTTTCACGTTGTGTAATATATGGATTGGTATGGGGGCATTCTATTTTTCGTGGTCAGTAATATTTTTCTCAAAATACGAACAGTAAAACTTTTTTGTTTATAATAACATGTAACGAATTAAACTTGCTAGACACTGTTGGATCCTCATTAGCTCGCCTCTTGTCCAATTATTTCATTTATTAAGGGGCGCTAATTGGCTCTGTAGTAGAGTTTTAAATTTCGAAGCAGACGAACAGAGTTAGCATCTGGGAGATATCAAAAAATATTCCCCATAAAGTTATGGGTGCATTATGAGAGTGATAGTCAACCCCTTAGCCTGGGTGGAAGGGCGCTTCTGACATTCCCTCAGGTCAGTAGTTCAGAATTAAGAACGGCAGCATATAACCTTAGTAGCTTTAGAGTAAATACAAATTCATTCCTATGCTTGCTATATGGTAGCGTCAATTATATATATATATATATATATA